CGGGAGAGGGGGGGGGGGAGATATCGCACAAAACCAAACCAAACTATTGAAGCTGTACATTCAGAATTTGGATTCTAAAATTTGGAGATTGAGAAAATTCGAACACCTTTTTTTGCGGATTTACATAAATTGAACAATTAAAGAAGAAGAATATTTGAAGAAAGGTTATAATTGGTAGTTTTTTTCGGTAGCAAATGCAATAAAAAACTAGAAAGAATAAGTGAAATTGAATGAGTTAAAGTTTTTAAATCTGGGGTCTGTCCTTGAGAACGATCTTTTTGGACATACCCCCCCCCCTCTTATCAATTTTGTTCACGACCACTTGTTTCTAAGCAAAATTATTACAATTTATTTATTTTTATTTTAGGGTTAGGTTAGGTTAAGACAATTTCTGGGCCCAGCGCTGCGGCTAGGACAGGTTAGGTGGCCGAGCACCGCGGTTGGGATAAGCTATAAGGGGGCCGGGCGCTGCGGCCACATGACCAATGATATCCATGTGATACTTATGATAACCATGCATAGTACAAAATTGATAGGGGGGCGTGGGGTCCTAAAATCGTTCTCTAGGAAATAACCTAAATCTGTGAATTATTACTAAGCACTTTTCATGAGAAGAAATTAAAAAAAAATGTGAAAAGATATGGATTCATTAATAATCGATTCATTTAAAAGAATCAGGATCTTCTTAAAGATATTCAGCTAAAATTTAACTCATCACAGCTGATCTAGGTTTAGAGTAAAGACTAAAGTCGCAACATTGTTTATGTTTAATTAAGTCAAGTATTCTCAAAAAAGTTCTGATGACATCAGTATAAAAATAAACCTACGGAAAGTTAAACATTTGTTGATAAATACGTGTTTTTTCTCACTTTGGCTCGGATTCAATATTTATGATAGTTAATTTCAGATTTGTTCTCATATAATGTTGTAAACTGTTTCCACCAAAGATACAAAATCAAAATGGCCTCCAGTTCTGTTTCGCAAGATGATTTTGAAAAGAATGATTTTGAGAAGCTGGAACGCAGATCAAGAATTAGAACGGCCCGAGCTCGTCAAATTAACCCGCAGGTGAAAGCAGCGCCAAATATTACAATCCCAAATGTTGATCATAATGATATTAGGGGAAATGGACCATATTGTTGTTGTGAACAATTGGAAGTATGATGTCATTGTCAAGTAGTAAAAAATTTTTTTTTTTACTGTATAAGTGTTTATTTTTCTGTATATCATAATTTATCTTTGATTACTAATAATTACAGCTTTTAACAACCCGAATTACAATACACAATTCTAAAGTGTAGTACACATAGAACATGTACACGTATACGTACACATGAAGTGTATTTTCATGCTCCTAAATGTACTTTCAACCCATATCCAATTTGGAATAAAAAATGGAAATATATGGACCCACGCAGAATCTATCATATGGGAATTCTATGGGAAACGACCCCCCACACCCTCAAAATTAGTTTTTAACACCGACTTTATGCGTTAAAATTTGTTTAATGGATCGCTGGGGGATCACTATTGTGTTATAAAGTTTAAATTCTAGTGCATTAAGCCTGTTTAGCCAGGGATCTGGGCGCCCCTGACACATTTACCAGGGACGTCGCTGGCGTCCCTGACATATTTACCAGGAATATGGGCGCCCCTGACACCTTAATCAGGGATTTTGGGCGCCCCTAACACCTTTCCAGTGATCTGGGCGCCCCTGACATCTTCACTAAGGATTCGGGTGCCCCTGATACCTTAATCATTGATTTGGGCGCCCCTGTCACATTTACCAGTGACATGGGCGCCCCTGACACCTTAAGCAGGGATCTGGGTGCCCCTGATTCCTATCCAGTGATCAGGGCGCCCCTGAAACCTTTACCAGGGATCTGGGCGTTCATGACACCTTTACCAGGAATCTGGGAGCTTTTACACCTTAACCAGGGATTTGGGCGCCCCCAATGAAAATTGAATAGAAGGAGGGGGCGATAGGGTTTCCGTACACTTTGCTGTGACGTTTTTGGACTGCTGAAGAACTAGTTTTGGCGTAACAACAATAACAAAGGTAGCCGATCTAATGTAAACAAACCTGAGTTAGTATATGGTGAATCATCATCTAACGCCAGAAATGTCAGATGTTTGTTTATCATTTGTGTTATTGTTTACAATCTTTATTATTGTTGTTACGCATAAACTGGTTCTTCAGCAGTCCAAAAACGTCACAGCAAAGTGTATGGAAACCCTATAGGGGACTATAGGGTCTTCTATTCAATTCTCCTTGGGCGCCCCTGAAACCTTTCATAGAACAGTCAACTTACTTATCAACTTATCAAAATACTTTTTCTTTAAACGATATACTTTTTATGTACAGCATACTTTTAACTTTAAACAATGTAAGTTTTCTTTGAAAAGTATACTTTTATTGAACAAAATTCTTTTTCTTTAGACAGCAAATGTGTTTTTCTTTTTGAGCAGAGGCCGAATCTATAGAATTTGATCCGCGGCTTAAATTTAAGCCGCGTCTAAATATGGTTGGTTCCACTTAAAATTGTATTCAATTTTTCAAGATTTAAGCCGGCGCTCAATTTAAACCGGTTTTTGGCAGATTTAAGCAGCGGCTCAAATTCTTTAAATTCGGGCACAGGACACATTTTATTAAAACATCAGCATATTTTTTTATTTGTTCAGTAAATTCTTTTTTAAACGGTACTATTTTTCTTAAAACAGTATACTTTTTACTTTAAACAAAATACTTCTTTTTGAACAGTCAACTTTTTCTTTAATCAAAATACTTTTTCTTTAAACTATAATTATACTTTTTTTTGAACAGTCAACTCATCTATGAACAAATCACTATAATTCTTTCAAGAATATCCTTTTTTTGAACAGTCACCTCTTATTTGAACTCATACTTTTTACTTTAAACAATGTAATATTTCTTTGAACAGTATACTTTTATATTGAACAATAAACTTTTCTTTAAACAATATATATACCTTTTCTTTGTACAGTATACTTTTAGTTTTCGTAATATTGTATATTTTGTAGAGAATGTGTTTAATATAATATTTGTTCAAATATTAAAAATTAATGTATATGTAATTTTCAATTCCTGCAGTATTCAATATTTTTGGATTTAAAGTTAGTTCTAGTTACAACCGTGATATTGAAGATAATATTTGACTTCAGGAATTTGGAATATTTGTATACTCTTTATTGCTAGATTCAAAGGCGCGTAGTGGAGAGGGGGGGCTGTACCCCTGTGCCCCCCTAGACATACACCACCCTAGCCCCCCCCCTAGAGCCAGAGGCAGTCTCTAATTTATTAAACAGTAAACTTACATATATATTCAGATTTTTTTACTTTTCTTATCAATCGACAATGTCACAATTTGTCCATTCTATGATTATTTCTCAAATTCTTCCTTGTACCTTAATCTTTTTTACAATATTTTTTTCGCGGGGTTTCATTTAAAATATGATTGGAAATTATGGTTAGATGACTAATAGTCAGCCTTCAGGTGTAGATTAATATAGATTTTAAACATTATTTTTTCTTAATACCGGTTTTTTAGGGGGGTGCACATCAACCGTAAGGGGGGTGCAGAAAAAAAAAATTCGGCGCGCTTGCCAAAAGTGCACCACCCTAGGTTAAACCTCCACTACGCGCCTGCTGCATACTGTTAAGCTTGTTTAAGTACGCCAACCAACTGTAAACTCCTTCATCTGAAGTTCCGTACCGACTTTTAGGGAGTTGTAAAATGTACAGTGTACAGTGTGGACTGTACATACGGACAATAAAGTTATACATAATAGAGTATAAATGTACGTAAGTACAAGCGGTATAAGGTAGATGTAGATTTTAAAACATTTCTCACGCTAGAGGCGCTAGTATGAATTCAGTTTGTTTTGTATTAGCTGAAACCAAACCAAGGAGATATTGAATAGAAGGAGGGGGCGATATGGTTTCCGTACACTTTGCTGTGACGTTTTTGGACTGCTGAAGAATTAGTTTTTACGTAACAACAATAACAAAGGCAGCCGATCTAATGTAAACAAACATGAGTTAGTAAACTGTGAAAGTAGTATTATCTTGTCAAAAAAGATTGAAAAAGTTAAGGATTTTAGTTTTATACGAATACGAAAAGGATCTTATTACAGCGACATTTTCAATAAAATTCAAGGTTATCCTGCCCCCCCCCCCTGGATGTCTGTTATCATTTGTGTTATTGTTTACAATCTTTATTGTTTTTGTTATGCAAAAACTAGTTCTTCAGCAGTCCAAAAACGTCACAGCAAAGTGTACGGAAACCCTATCGCCTCCTCCTCCTATTCAATTCTCCTTGGGCGCCCCTAAAACCTTTACCAGTGATGTGGGCACCCCTGACACCTTTATCAGTGATCTCGGCGCCCCTGAGTCCTTTTACGTCAAAGAATTATGTTTATCATACACTATTCTTGAAACTGATCAATGTTTAGTTTGTAAATCTCGGGAGCAATCATTGATCTCTATATTAAGGCGGCTACGGTTTTATTTAATTCCTCACCCGTGATAGGCCTACCCTGAAGGGATTACTTTAATTAAGGGATCAAGCACTAACCCTCTAATTCAAGTGCCAACATTGGATATCAAGATCAAGTGTTTTAAGACTAGCAATATCCGCAGAAAAGACTATTTCAAACATCAAATTTATCGGAAATTTGTATTTAAGAGTTGTCGACTTGAAAGTAATCAAGAACGTTTCAATCCTCTTGGAATAGATATTGAGGATAATCTCGATCAGTTGCATATAGACACAGGTTACTTTTATTATTTTGTATACAATCCCAACTTGATTAAACAGTTTCTCAATATTATAATTTATGATTTGAATACTATTCTACTTTTTAATTAATCATTTTTAATAATATTTTAAAGTTAATAGTAATAATTTTCTAATACTTATAATTTTATAACTCTTGCAACCTTAGTCAACATAAAAATTTAAATTCTGCTAGATTAATATGTCATGGTTATAAATAGTCTTACAGAGCCAGGTTGCAAAGATATTTAAAAAATTGTAAATTGAGGCGAAAAATTCAGTTTTTGATTTCTGGATTTTCTTTCTGAAGTAAACTATATCTCTGTTTCAGCTTCAGTATCTCCTTTCAGCGTTCTAGATGGAGACACAAGTCCTAAACCCGGGCCCAGGAATATTTTAGATATTGATTAAGATTGAAGAAACGAGTTAAAGTAGGGAGGGGGTGCAGGGACGCAATGAGCCCCTTGAAATGGTCTCCAAGCCGCTGGATTCGCAGATGATTATTTAAAATGACCTATCTACCCCTATCCTTGAGAATAGATATTTTAGAAGTACTAAATGAAAATGTTTCAGGGGTGTATATAATTCCATATTTTTGATTCTTTCCGCCCCCCCCCCTCTAAATTTTTTTTTGAATTCCTTCCCCAAACTCGACAACTCAAAATACATGGATTTATTGAAGTATCATCTAAAAAAATTTACTTATTCTTACTTAATTAAACAGTAAAAAAAGTCTACAGGGACATGAGACTGATTTTCTTGGTTCTTCCGAAGCTGTCCAAGAGATATATCTGCAAACTTCAGTTTGGAGTACTGTCTGGAAAGTCTGGCGTTGTCCATCTTTCTCACAAAGGTCATCTCCTTCATAAACTCATCCCTGATTTCAGTGATGATTTTTTTCTTTAAGATATGAAGAGGAGGAGCATTAAAAGCTATGATAAGCTCTCTTGAGAAAAAGCTTGATGTGAGGTTTCTTCCTTTATTAACTAGTATATTCATGAGGGATCCCACACTTTCACAGTAGGCTTCACTATATGATTTGATATTAACATGTTTAAACAGGTCAAAGAATCTAGACTCTGCTGACAAACTCTGCCTATAATTCTTTTGGAACAGTTGATATAACACTTCCAAGGACTGCTGATCAGAATTTTGTTTAAATGTCAGGAATTGAATGAATGTCTGCAGAAGGCTATCCTGAACTTCAAACTTCTCCTTAAGTTTGCCTCCTATAAGATTTTCAACCAGCTCCTCTAGATGTTCCTGGCACTTGTTTCTAGCATGTCTTTACTGATGTTTTCAGCCCACTCTGTTCTATGAAAAGCCTCTACTGAAGCCTTTAAAAGTGACGTAGGTTTAAATCGTTTTTCCAAGGATGTAAAGATGTCACATAACTCACTAAGTTGCTTTTCAACTTTCTCAATAGAATTACCCTTCTCCTTCCCTTCCCTTCTCCTTCCCTTCGTCTTCCCTTCTCCTTCCCTTCTCCTTCCCTTTTCCTTCCCTTCCCCTTCCCCTCCCCTTTCCTTCCCCTTCCCCTTCCCTTTCCCTTCCCCTGGAATTATATACACCCCTGAAATGTTTAGAAGAAAATTTAATATTTTAGTAGTTATAAGCAAGGTTTTTTGGATATTCAAGAAAACACTCAAAACTTTTTAAAGATGAAATATTTTCTTTAAAAATTGTTATTTATAACTTCTATAATATCTATTCTAACGTTTTGGGGTAGCGCCAGGTAAATTTAAATACTCGAGTATCTGCGCCACTGATACCCCTCCCTCGTTAAAGGGGATTTATTTCTAATCTTGAGCCGTCATATGGAATCTGCTTGAAGAAAACTAAAGTCCAATAAAGAACAATATCAGCCTAATCTAAGAAATAATGACTAAAAATAAATGTCTTGAGATTTGTATAATTTTGCTACAAAATGAACTTCTTTGATGGTATTAGTACTCCACAATCCGCAATTAAACTGTCAGTGTTTTTTTTAATTTTGAGTCAAAGAATTCTAAAAATAATAGGCTTTTGCTTAGCGCCCCCTTTCGCGGATTTTTCCTTTGGTGCATTAAAAAAAAATAATAAATATTTACTTTTTTCCTGGGCAAAATTGTTAAACTTTGACGGCCCGCAATCCTTTCCAGGGGTCATGTAAAGAATTGCAATAAAAAGTTTGTGCACGATCGGTTCAGCCGTTGTGACTTTTATTAGATAATAACAGACAGACAAGTATTTTTGTTTTTTTTCTAGCGAATTTGACATGTAAAACAGATCTATCATTGGCCGAGTTGATAGGTATTTGTCTTAGGTCGGGACTTATTGATTAATCTTTCAGAAAGCGCGACTTACTATCTTCAAAAGTCCGTCGGAATAAGTAAATCTTTAATGGTCCGACCAAGCAAAGACCACACAAATTCTGCTCTTGGCCAATGCAAGATGGTGTGAAACGTTTAAGATGGGTTAATTGCGAAGGTTTTTAAAGTTTTCGCTGTGAATATCTAATTTTGTCGTTGTACACATGCTAAAGTTCTGACCTAAACTCCCTAAACATAAAGAATCAATATTAAAAACGATTAGGAATCAAGCTAAACTTTCCTCGGAGAAACGACCAGCCAAACTCAACCATCATGGGAATAAGGGTAAACGTTTTGCATGTTAAAAAACATGAATTCAGCAAAACAATCATTATGTCTCCAGGTGTATGTTCCGGTTTTTTGTATAGACAAACTTGCAGAAGGCAAAGATCTTGACCTTTTTCAATAGTGCCTATTTTGTGTTGAAAGCGGAATTGCTCTTTGATAAATAATTTGATTTTATGGATAAACTTTCCGATTGGTTGATTTATTGATTGATTGACGTATTGATTGATTGATTGATTGATTGATTGATTGATTGATTGATTGATTGATTGATTGATTGATTGATTGGTTGGTTGGTTGATTGGAATATTATAAATTTTAGGTAAACAGCAGAGAGACCGAAGAAAGCTGAGAGAGAAACGAAGATCTACAGGAGTCGTGCACTTAGCGAGTACAGAGAGTACAGGTACAGCTAGATATAGAGAGTAAAGGTACAGTTAGATATAGAGAGTACAGGTACTGCTACTTGTAGATAGTACAGCTAGATATACAGAGTACAGGTACAGCTAGATATACAGAGTACAGGTACAGTTAGATGTAGAGAGTACAGGTACAACTACTTGTAGAGTAGTACAGCTAGATATACAGAGTACAGCTACAGCTACGTGTAGATAGTACAGCTAGATATACAGAGTACAGGTACAGCTACTTGTAGATAGTACAGCTAAATATACAGAGTACAGGTACAGTCAGATGAAGAGAGTAAAGGTACTGTTGCTTGTAGATGCCCTCTTTTATTTTTTATTTCATAACTTAGAATCTATACAAATTCATAGACAAATTATTGATTTATTGAACGATATATTTTGTCTAGGAGGAAGTACCACTGGAGATGATGAGGAGTGTGTTGAAGGAGCTGGAGGAGCTGCTGCTGTTGGAGGAGTCTGTGTGGAAACAAAGAGAAACACTCAACACAATGAATCTATTCAGGGATATATTTCTTACAGTGCCTTTTCATTTGTAGATATATTTCTTAACGTGCCATTTTAGTTTTAAGATACACTTCTCATAGTGCCATTTCAGTTTTAAGATACACTTCTCACAGCGCCTTCTCAGGTTTAAGATACACTTCTCATAGTGCCATTTCAGTTTTAAGATACACTTCTCATAGTGCATTTTCAGTTTTATGATACACTTCTCATAGTGCCATTTCAGTTTTAAGATACACTTCTCACAGTGCCTTCTCAGGTTTAAGATACACTTCTCACAGTGACCTCTCAGGTTTAAGATACACTTCTCATAGTGCCATTTCAGTTTTAAGATACACTTCTCACAGTGCCTTCTCAGGTTTAAGATACACTTCTCATAGTGCCATTTCAGTTTTAAGATACACTTCTCATAGTGCCATTTCAGTTTTAAGATACACTTCTCACAGTGCCTTCTCAGGTTTAAGATACACTTCTCATAGTGCATTTTCAGTTTTAAGATACACTTCTCATAGTGCATTTCTCAGGTTTAAGATACACTTCTTATAGTGCCATTTCAGTTTTATGATACACTTCTCACAGTGCCTTCTCAGGTTTAAAATACACTTCTCATAGTGCATTTTCAGTTTTAAGATACACTTCTCATAGTGCATTTTCAGTTTTAAGATACATTTCTTACAGTGCCTTCTCACTTAAAGATTGAATATTAGAAGACTTAAATGGATATTAATTAATTAAAAAACTGTGATATTAGCAAATCAATATTTCCGCTTAATTTTACTGTACTGTACTGCACACATTAATATAAGTATTCCCAGGATGTACAACCTTCCTCCGTTCCTGTTGAAATACCGGAAAGAAAAAATTCAGGTTTATTTTGAATACTTATGTACAGAAAAAACATATCCGTTCTCTTTTCTTTTAATATTTTCCCGCATTTTGAATTTTGACCAACATTACCGTCTACCGACCAATGATTCACAAATAAGTTCCCTTTTCCAAGTTTGCTTACAAAACATCCTTTGCTTTACTCGGGATGTTTTGTTAAGGTAACATAGGTCGAAGGAGTAAATAATTATAACTATTTTATACTTTTTCACTGAACGTTAATAGTAATTTGAAGGGACCCTTCATGCAAACGTAAAAAAAGCCTTTTTAAAACGGTATCTTTGAAACCTTAATTTGATCAGAAATGTGGAAGATACCATTGTTTTTTTTTGACTTGAAAAAAAGTTTAGTTTTGATAATTTCTCTAAAGCGAGAAATGAGAAAGTTACTTTAGCAGAGAACTCAAAAAATGAAAATTAACAGTTTTAAGAAACAAAAATTTATATTTATACGGATATCGTAGTAAATCGGGCCTTGTCATCTGTGCAATATGAGGGTCACTTTACAATACGCTTGCAACCCCTTTAAACTTGTGAAAGGCGGAAAAGCTTAAATAAAAAATTAAATCATCACTTATACAGTGAGATCCAGAAAACTCTGGAATAGGAAGACGACTTTAAGTCATAAGATGACTTTAAATAGTCCAGACGCAGCAATTGTGCAGTGTAAAACCCACCCTTTTTTACCTTATAAAACATTTAATAATTTTAAAAGTTGTAAAACTGTTCACTTTGTAACAACGCAAAATACGCTTAGTTACTGTTTTAATGTCGTCTTCCAATTGCCCGGTTCTCTGATTCTCATTGTATTATTTTTGTTTCACAGGGCACAAGCATCAATCTCCTCTGTATAATCGGCTTCGACTCAGGGGCGACAAGTCGACACGTAGCGAGGATATGGAAGCAGACGATGAACAGGAAAAAACAAAACTAAATCTGGAGATTTTGAAAAAAATATGTAAAATGTTCGGTCCCCCCGGGTGTGAACATTTTACAGAAGAAATAAAAAAGTCCTAATCAGAAAGACCTGGAATTAATTTACAGTTAATAATACGACATAACCCTTATTTTACAATTATATTATTGATAAAACCAGAATCACAAAATAGCCTAAGTCCTGCCATTTCCAAAATGTGGTCTGCCTCTTGAGCATTTAAAATTACCAGAGATATATATCTAAAGTCGCCTGATTAATGTCAATTAATTCCGGGTCTTTCTGATTATGACATTACTGTAGCAAAATGTCGACTTTTTTTTCTGGGAAACATTCAAAGCCACGCTGTGATGCTGAGATAATCTTAGTGGCTCATAGTTCAGTGAAATTGATTGAAAAATATAAATTAAGGTTTTTATTAGGAAAATCTTTGAATTGTTTTGAACTCTAGGGAGATAAAACGGACAACGACCATGATAGCATCAATCTTTCTGAATCTAACACTACTACACCATTGCCAGGTGATTAAAAAAAAGTTTGAAATTTGGCGAGGGGGGGGGGGGGTCAACAACATCATTGAACGGGATCATCAGACAGAAAAAAATTATCCATTTTTTCGCATATTTTCTACAAATGTCATTTTTTCTTTTTCACTGAAAAAAATTATCCTGAGGCCAGATTAATAAAAATCGATGAATAATTGACCCGTGAAAGTTGACTACTTCTAATCTGCCGTCAAAGGGACAAAATACGTAATTTCTCAATGTCCTTTTCACAACGGCACTCTTAAAACCGTTTGATCAAGAATGAAAGTTTTTTTTTGTCTAGCTTAAAATTTTTCAATTTTAATTTTTTTAATAATGGCTTTCACAGAATTTAACAACTCTTTACAAAGAAAAGCACCGATATCTTCCTCCTCATTACTCAGGTTCAGGGTACCGTGGCGAGTAGGACATGCCACTCCTAAAATTACGTTTACGTTCTACAGTCCCTTTAAATCCCTTTAAATCTGATTGTTTGCTAAGGTGGACTGTTGGTTGAGACTAGTTCCTGCTTGACGAGCCCCCTGGTTCGTCCCACCACCCCTTCCATCCCATCCAGTACATCCACACCCGTACTCAGACCAACCACACCCACTCACATAGACTCCATCACTGTCTCACCCGAGGACAGGGAGAGGTAAAGCAGTGCGTAAGATCTGGATCCGAATCCGATTTATTTTGGCTTCTTTGGAATGATCATTGGTTGGGTTTATTGATTTATTTATCCATTAATCCAAGTATTCTAAGAAGTCATTGATAGATCGATTAATTGATTGATAATTTAATTTGCTGATTGTTTGATTGATTGAATAAGTAATTGAATGATTGATTGATTTGTTCAGATGTTTTGAGGAGAACAAGACCCTGCTGGCGATCATGGAGGAGAAGGATCGCAGGATTCAGAGTGACCTCTCAGGTTTAAGATACACTTCTCATAGTGCCATTTCAGTTTTAAGATACACTTCTCACAGTGCCTTCTCAGGTTTAAGATACGGAATTATATACACCCCTGAAATGTTTAGAAGAAAATTTTTTTAAGTGGAGAGTGTTTATATTTGTTTATATTGGGCGCCGTGACAAACTCCTGAAAGACAAACTCCTGAAAGACAAACTCCTGAAAGACAAACTCCGGAAAGACAAACTCCTGAAAAGACAAACTCCTGAAAGACAAACTCCTGACGAGACAAACTCCTGACGAAACTTGGGGGAATAATATTTCGAGAAAATAAACACCCCTGATTAGCTGTTAATCTGGGTATCTTTAAACTCGTCATTTTTGGCTAACTTTAAAACAAGCATTAATGAAAATAAAGATTTTATACTATTATTAATATTAGAATTCTAACTAGAGAAACATATTGTTTAGGATACGCAAAGTATTATAGAGGAACACTGCAGACTCAAGGAGGAGAATTCTATTCTCATCAAAACAATCGGGAACTTGAACAAGTAAACCCTGGAACTTGAATAAGTAAACCCAGGAACTTGAACAAGTAAACCCAGGAACTTAAACAAGTAAACCCTGGAACTTGAACAAGTAAACCCAGGAACTTGAACAAGGAAACCCATGAACTTGAACAAGTAAACCCAGGAACTTAAACAAGTAAACCCAGGAACTTGAACAAGTAAACCCTGGAACTTGAGCAAGTAAACCCTGGAACTTGAACAATTAAACCCTGGACTTAAACAAGTAAACCCTGGACTTAAACAAGTAAACCCTGGAACTTGAACAAGTAAACCCGGGAACTTGAAGAAGTAAACCCTGGAACTTAAACAAGTAAACCCGGAAACTTTAACAAGTAAACCCTAGAACTTGAACAAGTAAACCCTGGAACTTGAACAAGTAAACCACGGGAACTTGAACAAGTAAACCCTGGAACTTGAACAAGTAAACCGTGGAACTTGAACAAGTAAACCCTGGAACTTGAACAAGTAAACCCAGGAACTTGTTCAAGTAAACCCTGGAACTTGAACAAGTAAACCCGGGAACTTAATCAAAGAAATATCGGGAACTTGAAATAATGACCATCGAAATCCGGGAATCTCAAAGGGGAACTGGATATCCTGGAGCTTCTGAATCAATTGAATCAGATGCAAATCTGCCGGATCAAAATTTATGAAAACATATTAGGCCTCCTCTAACCGAACTGAAATAATTTATGAAGATATTGATTATTTTGTCTCAAAATGATGTTAATAATAGGACGCATTAAAATAAATATGTTTTTGTTCACAATCATTTTCAATTCAGTAAAAACCTTTGACAAAGAAATATCTGCCCTGTTAAAACCATTTTGTTTCAAAGGTTGTTCTTAAAATTCATTTTTATCGATTTTTAAAATGTGTTTAAAATAATTTGTTTAAGTAGTTTTCAGTATAATTAAATTTTGTAATTTTTCTGGTCACCAAGTCACACAATTGTAAATTAAAAAACTTGAAATCCTGACTAAACTTTTAACTGTTAACACCTATGCTTTGCTGCTGCATGTTTTAATTTAATCCATTAAAAAAATGTACTCCGTTTATATTGTAAAAGAACCAAAAGTATAATGTCACAAAAATATTATTTTGTTAAACATGATGTGCTTTATATTATGTACTTGTATATGTGTGTTATGTACAAAGTAGATTAATTACTAACCAAACTGAAATTTATGTTTTAAATTTTAAAGGAATTGCCAACGTATTTCTAAAAAGTGTCATTAACATGGTAAAGGCAAGCATGAAAACGGTCAAATCGGTCCCAGTTGGGAACTACTTTTACGCAATTTTTGCTAAAAAATGGATTAAATAGAACGCATAAAATGTTACTTTAAAATACGTTGACAAGACATTTCCTTTTAGTTTCTTTTGCTTTCTCTTAACATGCTTTAACTTTTATCCTTAAACTTTTTAATAGATTTAATTTTGCAGAATTTTTTAATCCGTTTTTATTTAATTTTTTCTATTTTCTCTTTTCCAAATTTAACGCTTAAAATTTTTTATTTTGCTACAAAATATATTTTAAAATTTTATTTCAGATGTTTTTGGTTTAGAATGGACTCGTTAGATTTAGCGCTTGATGAGTTAGGTAACAGTTTCAGTGATCGTGTCAAATTTATTGAAACAATGTATCAAAAAATGCTATTCAAATTTCGTGGCAATTTTTTACAACAAAAAAGCTTTTTCTTATGTCAACTTTAGGGTAACATTTTTTAAATGTCTTAAACATATTTTCCTCATTTTAAAACAGGGGCGTATAGACAAGTTATAAGAGGGCTTAGTCCTAATAGTCAAGAGCCCCCACTGTATACGTAATTATATTTTATTTGTACTACTAGGCTAGTATTTCTATTTTTGATGGTGGTTCTATCTTTTAGCAGTTAACAATAAAATCTTTGTACAAAAAAATAACAAAAAAAGTTCCCGGAATTAATATTTTTTTTCTCTCGCACTTTTAAATTAACAGAAGTCATAAACTTTCGGATACAATTTGTTGTAATTTTAAGCATCCATAAACCCTCCCTGGGGCATGAGAGGTCCCACACAAAATTTGTAAAATGTAAACAATACGGACATGCAATGGAGCGCCACATTTACAACTTCATACTAAACTAGCGGCGAATATGGGAACTGACAACTTCATACTAAACTAGCGGCGAATATGGGAACTAACAACTTCATACTAAACTAGCGGCGAATATGGGAACTAACAATTTCATACTAAACTAGCGGCGAATATGAGAACTAACAACTTCATACTAAACTAGCGGCAAATATGCGAACTAACAACTTCATACTAAACTAGCGGCGAATATGGGAACTAACAACTACTAAACTAGCGGCGAATGGAACTAACAATTTGTATGGCATTGGTCACTAAATGGATCCAAATTGGATTCATGTTTTTTAGTCGTCTTGTCGGGATTCCTTCTAATCTAAATACCTTGGCCCAAACGTTCTATTCTTGACATGATAGTTCTTATTTATAGGAATGTTAAGCACAGCCACCAAGTACAAAATGGAATTCATTCAGGTTAATCTTTTTTCATTTGGGATTAAAATCATCTTATTCAGATATTAGTTATAATAAAATTATTTTTATTTTAATGAAAAATTGTTTTGAAAAATTAATCTTTATTCCAATAACACAATTTTTACATTTATTTTTTATTTCTATAAATGAATAAAACCATTTTTATTAAATAAAACGAATTTAAAAATTATTATTTATTGCAGAGTATTGAGACTGATCTTGAGGAGCGAAGAGCTCAGTCCCTTAAATCAGCTCGGCTCAAGGCCGGCTCATCCACTGCACATTCTTCCAGTTTTATCTCGGATCCAGAGCAGGATGGGTTGGGTAATTTCTCCAGGTTGGATGGATCCTGCTCCAGGTCTATGGTTTATATGATCGGAGAAGATGAGAGTCAGAGATCGCAGATAAATATCAATCCTTCATTCGTTACGAATATCAAGATTTGTAGTCCCAGGTACTTACTCGCTTAATTACATTCAAACTTCCTCGTTTACTTCCGTACTTACTTTACTTGCTTACATCCTTACTTATTAATTAAAAATTTCAAAATGACCTTTGACAACGAGTGTAATTGAATACCATTGGTCGGAATGCTTGGAGCAAACAAGATGAATGTTGCTTATTACCGTATCTAGTGACGTTAAGTACTCACTAAGCAACAGAGCCCCTCCAAAGCCCCAGTCCAAATCAATCCTAGCTGCACCGCTCGGCTCCCTCTCGTAACCGTGGCACTTGGGCCAGACATTTCTTTATCATGCTTAAGCTAAAATATCAAATATTTTTTAATTTTTGTGAGTGGGGGGGGGGTCCACAATGCACTTCTCTTGGTCGGTCATGACTCTGCAATTGAATTAAAGATTATTTTTGTATAGGATTCCGGGACGTTTTTCTAGTCAACGATTAAATTCTGATATTATAGAAAATAGAACTAGAAGCAACAGCAGGTATTTTACAAATTTTACATATCCTTCATTTTTTTAAACTGACAATTATTCTTTTTTACAATGATTGAGACTCAGCGCGTAAATATTTGTTCAATATTTTTTTCCTAAAACCTAAATGGAGCAGAATTTTTTCAGGTTTTATTCCCATTATTTCTCAATGATTGATTTTAAAGGAAAATCAACAAATTAGTGTCTCTAAAGTATGTATAAGAATGCCTTTTAATGTCAAATCTTCATTTTTCTCCCCACACAGATTGATACTTCCTATACTTCAAACTTACATAAGTTCGAAATATCAAAGATATACAGTATCAGGTTTGCAAATGAAAAGATTAGAAAATTTAAGTATTTTGTGTTAAAAAAATAAATGTTTTTGTCTAGGGAACTGCTTTGTCTCCGAGATTGTGTAGGTCCCCGTTTTACTAGGATTCTAAATATACCCTATACTAGTCCTTATACCAGGCCTTATACTAGTCCCTACTCAGTGAGCAACTCGTCCCTCTCCTGCCCTCGCAACCCGTCCAACTCCTACCCGTCCCTCTCCTCTCTCTCCTTAACCTACCCCAGCACCTCCACCTCCTCTCCGGGCAGTACAACTATCAAACTATCTGGGGTCCTCACCTCATTCAAGCACAGGACATGGAAAACTAGGTATTTATCTATCTATCTAGATATCTATCCCTTTCTATCTATCTATCTATCTATCTATCTATCTATCTATTTATATACATCCTTAAAGGGCTCGAGTTCGATTTTCCCACCGCGAGGAGAACACCGAGGACATCATCGAACAGCTCGCCAACATCAAGCTTGATATATCCAGGTAAATAGGGACATATTACTATTTCTGACTGTTTTTGGAAAAAAATTTAAAAGTGACTTTTTTTGATAACGCAGAGATAATTTTTTTCAGTTTAAGTTCAAGTGATCCAAACAGAAACTTGCAGTCATTCGTACAGAGTAAACAGTATACCAAGGTATTTTAATCTTAACATTATTTTGAGATGGCCTTATTTTACGGGCCTCTAACTCTCACCTCAACAAAGGATGCCTTAAGCAATTCCTGTAATTAGTATGATTTGATTTCATTACTTTCAGCTACTTTAAAGGGAACCAGGGGTGTATTTTTTTAAAACAATTTTTATCCCCCTTGCAATTTTTTTCAAAAATGAAAAAACTTGGTGTTTTTGTTACATTTTTTCCCCCCAAATCATCTAAAATTCTTTTTTTGGGGGGAAAAATACACACCCCTGCAGAGAACTTAAAGAAATCAGAAATTTTTATTTTACCAAGGGTTCTCAAGACAAATTTTGCATAATGAACATCCAGGGCGGTGTGTGGTATAGTTAAAATTGGTCAAAGAAACCCGTTATTAAGTTAAATTTGAAATTTCCTGAAAAAGTTTTTCACGAAATCGATTTTTATGATACGCGAATTTGTTCACAAAAACTTCATTTTTCTTAATTCAATGTTCCAAGGAACCGTTAATTAAAACAATTCGCTTCTGGGAAATCATGGGTCGTTATGTTGGTGAAAAGGCGGTTAAAATGGTTACATTAACCGATTCTCACCATAACCTATTAACTTAGTTAATTAACTTTAAAGAAGATATGGTCTTGTTCAATTTCTTCTTTACTTCCTTTATTGCTACTGTGTCACGTCACATTCACAGATAAACTCAATTGTAAACCATTATTTTTCAAACAGAAATGCAAATAATTCTCCATAATTTTTCTGCTCGACAAAGGCTTATAGGGGAAAACGGGAAGTCTATTTGGACCCTTACAAGGAAGGGTCGTATGAAATAAGTCGACTGCTCCTTTAAGCATGGTTTTACTGAAACTGGTTAGAATTTTTCAACTGGTTTGTTTCCTATCTAATCGCATTTATAAAGAAAATTCTGCATTCCATTATTTATTTGGACCAATTTTATTATTCTGTTACAAACTTAATACAATTTTTACAAAACATTCCATTTTTATATTTTTAAATTTCGTTGGTAGGAGCGTCGACCCTTATTATAGGAGTCTTCTTCACTATTAATATTATTTATTCAGGAGAGATTCCCGCGTTCCGGTCATATTCGCTTAGAACACCGTTCCAGAATGCTCTCCCTAGATTCTCGTTCCAGACTGCAACTAGAGGAGGATGAACCGAGCTTGAACGGAGACTTGTCCTGTTCCTTAAACCAGCTGGACCTGGAGCAGAGTTGACCTGCTCAATAAACCAGCTAGACCAAGAGTTGACCTGCTCCTTACCCCAGCTAGACCTAGAGTTAACCTGCTCCTTACCCTAGCTGGACCTAGAGTTGACCTGCTCCTTACCCTAGCTAGACCTAGAGTTGACCTGCTTCTTACCCTAGCTGGACCTGGAGTTGACCTACTCCAGGTGGACCTAGAGTTGACCTGCTCCTTATTCTAGCTAGACCTAGAGTTGACCTGCTCCTTACCCTAGATAGACCTGGAGTTTACCTGCTCCTTACCCTAGCTAGACCTGGAGTTAACCTACTTGGCTGGCTAGTTCATCCAACTGCATTATCACAACATTTTAAGCTCTTCGTTTTTAGCAAGAAATTTTTGTATTTTTATGCTTTTGATTTGTGAACCTTTCATTGCAACACGGTTTAAAACAACGATCTTTGGTCATAAACAATTTGTGTATTTAATTAATTATGCAAACAAATGTTAAAACTGAGATGCCTAAACCAGAAACATTTTAATGGTTGAAAGAGTTTGGACCGATTGGAGATTAAGTTAACTTAATCTATTCTTGGGAAAATCCGCCGATTGATAACAAAAGATTAACTCAGTCTCTTCATCTAAAAGTTTAAAAGTACTGGAATGTCAACCCTAAATTTTTGTGTAAGAACTTATCCCAAACCATTAAAAGTTTAATTGCACATCAGCTAAGGGAGTTTCTTGTACCTACGTGGTTGCAGTCTTTGATTATTTAAAAAAACAACAATTTTTACAATTTTTTTTTTTTTGGGGGGGGGGGCC